GTCCAGTGGCATGGCAATGGCTAATGACCCATGATTCGGTGCCTCCTGTGGCCGTGCTGTGGCTACGCTTCTTGCTACCACGCTTATGTGGACGTAAGGCGCGTCCAGGAGCGTCTTCCAGGGGGAGGGTGGGGTCACTGGGAGAAAGTTCCCCTCTCCTCATGCAATCTGTATGTAATTAATATGCAGGTGATTACATTTTGCAAAGTAAAAAAAAAATAGATGTGCGCGGAAAAGGTGGATTCAAAATTTGCGACGATGTAAAACATACGCCGTGCAAAACCATACATCACGTTTACGGCGTAATACAATGAATTTCTACGACAAGGCTTTTCACTCGTGCTTCGCAACTGCGAAACCTGCATACACCCATGTTTGCACCGACCCTCACAACAGGCCAGCAGGCCTGTGCAATCTGGGGAGAGCATTGTACTAATTGTGTTCTCCTAAAAAGATGTACTTCTGTTGATTGAGCGTACTGTCCAAGTTGTGCCTACATTGGTCACACTACAACCACTTCAAGGGATGTTTCATCTTTAAAAATATTGAGGCAAGCATCAGATATGAGATGAAGCAAGTTCACTTACAATGATTGGCACTCTTGGCAATCCTGCGGAACACCTGAAGTGAAAGAACTGCTCTTAACAGCACAATTCACTGTTAAGTAGCTACGCTGCTCAATGCGCCGTGGTTTGATTACGCCGTCGTAATTTGCACAACATTGATTGAGAGTCGCCATTTGGCGGCCGGAATATCTGGAAATCGCACTCACGAACGCCTGATATGAACGCCTCGACAATTTATTTTTTGGACTTGATCGCCGCGTGGCTTATGAAACGGCAGGATTTGAATTTCGTTTTTATAACGGCATGAACGCCAAAGTGACTTGAAATACTCCCCCCCCATATAGCTTTTTCCTTTTTGCGAACATGTATCTCAGAGACTGCAGAGGCTTAGGTCTTAAGAAGGGCAGGATTGTGAACAGCACCGTAAGGTCTGCAAGATGGGTTTTTCTGTTCAGAACCCCATATAGATGCGGAACACTCCCTTTAAGCAGAATGATGGCAACATACATCTTGAATAGAAACACCAAGATCATCACCCGCAGCCCAAGCAAGAGAGGGCTTCATATCTAACAAGCTATCTTCGATTATCTGGTCATCGCTGTCGAGGCTGTTGTAAAACACCAATGGGTGCCCACGCGCCCTTGTGGTTCAGTCATGCTATTCTTGTTCCGTATTGCTATGGCCCGGGCTGCCGAATTGCCCCTCAAATACTCGCTGCACATGAGCGATATCTAAAAAAGGCTAAGCAAAGAAGGCCATTCGAAGGTATAGAGCCATTTGCCTTAGCAACGGATATTGGTGCTACTGCATCTGCTTCCTGTTGTAGCATAATTATTTTCGCTGCGTTTAGCTACGACCGCGGCATGTCCATTGTTGCACCTGAATACCTTTGCGCGGAAGACCGCCGGCAGAAACTCGTGCTTTACTGCTACTGTGTAGTTGTAGATGCGCCAGTAAATGAGCGCGACAATTTGCACCGACGATAACGGCGGCGTGTGCAGTGTCGAACGTTTTGGAGAAATGCGATGAAACCGTTGCGAAATACGAAAATATTTTGGGTGGATATCAGTCACTGTGAAACCGGCTTTGCGGCAAGGCCATTATCACGATCCCGTATTGCTTCATTTAGGCTGCCACCAACAAAGTCGTGTCGTCCAGTTCAACGGATAATTTGGACTCTGCCCTTCTATACGGAGAAATGTGGAGTGTTTTACGTGTTTCTCCAACCTGCGGCACGGCCGTTTTGGGCGTAGACTGACCATCATTGGCCAGTTGTTATCGGAACTTTTCATTCCATTTGAGTCAAAAAATGCACCCGCTTTGGGCTCTGCACCCAGTGCCACTGAGTTCTGAGTCCAACATCTCTGAATGGGAGAGGAGCTCAGCTGAAATATGAAGTAGCCGATGCCAGATGTGGTGGTCAATGCCAACCAAAGTTCTGGGTGTTCCCATTGCCTAATATTATTTTTAAAATTGTGTAGACGTGTTTTTGGCCAAAGCTTTACGGAGACGTTCATTACCAGCTACCGCGTGCCCAACTTAAGAGTTCTGCCTCACACCGTCTTTCACCAATGAGACCACATGTGATGAAATTAGTCGGTTCATGCATTGCGCTCGATAAAACGGGCCAGCTGAACGGGATCACCATGCGCTGTCGGGAGACTGCTGCAGAACAGCGTGTGCACACATATACCCTTATTTCAAAGTCACATTGCTGTTTTGTCCCGCATCGCCATGGTCCAGGCTGCCGAATGGCCACTCGCATGTCAAAATGATCGCCGCACTCGGTTGTGACAAAGGTGATATGTGCATTAGCCAATCCAACCATCCTTTCAAATATACTGAGGCAGCTGCACACAGAAACAGATGTAAGCCCTGTCGAAAATGTTCGCTGTTTCCCGGCAGAACTGTTTTTGCCCTGTTCAGCTTGTCTCGTGTCTGTCAAATGTCCGTTGATGCGCCTTAACATCTGAGCGGAGGATCGCCAGCAGAAACTCGTGACTTCCAGGTCAATGTGTTGTCGTTAAGGTGACGTTCAGACTGTTACTGTTAATGCGTTATGCGTCAACTGTTAATGCGTTCAGAGGGCCGCCTCAAGATTGCAGAAAAAGCAGCGTCAGGTCCAGTCTTGAAACGATATGAATTAATGCAAAAAATAACTTTTGGAAGCATCACTTCACGACGGTCGTTGTTGCGTGCGCGGCGCCCGCCACCTGGTGCTACGTGCGACGTTCAACTCCTTCAGTTTTACGACACCTACAACTGCGGCATCGCTGCTCTTGCTCCTGAGATTACGAGAGTGCAGGAGGAAAAACAGTGATCAACGCGAGTCGGTTTTCCAAAAAATGCAGCCCCGGCCACTGTTGTCCTTGCTCCCGAGATTGGAAGTGCGAAAGCTCCAAGTGTGTTGATGCACTGTGTTTCATTCGTGGATTCTGAACAAGAATGAACGTTTTCAGGCAAACATCGGATGACCTTTTTCACTTTTGACTCCATCGTGTCCCACGCAATTCAACACGCATGAAACGCATTGCTTTTCGGGCGAGGGACACCATATCTAGAACACTAGGGTATACATTATCGTTCCCGGTCGATTAAAACGATTTAACGTCCATTCCGTCTCAGCGCAGGGTGCCTTCCGGATGTCATTCTAGCAACAGGTTCCCTGGTCGATCCGAAGGCCCTCTATCTGACGCGGATGTCTTCTGACCCGCGCAATCGACCCTGAATCGACGCAGTAACCCTCCATATCGCAACAAGATCCTTGATCGCCTCAGGTGGTCTAAAAATTCGCACCAAGACTCAAGGTCAGCTTAACGGACCCATGACTAGAATTGGGCTGGAGGGCCCGTCGTTAGCGATTGGGGACCGTGACTGACACAGGACAGTTAACAACACAGGTTTCCACATATGTTTAACACAGGTTTCCCTGACAGCCTCGGGCTCCCTTGTCGACACAGGACACCCTGCTAGGCACTGCGGGTCTCCGACCGACACAGGGGGTCATTATTGTAGGGGCCTGACCGATGAGTTTCGGCCCGGCCTTCCCCCCACAGCAAAACCAGATTACCAGTTACACTCATCGAACTAGGGACCGGTCCTTGCGCCGTCGCATTTATCTGCATTTTTGGCCAGCTGCATGAAAATATGGAGGTTGATATGGAGGATGAGCGATGATATTGGTTCGCTGTCGTTGGCTTTAACAATTCGCGGCAAATGGAACCTGGTTGGTTATGCACGTACATGGTGCGCATTATCTGTTCTTGCGTGAAGGAGCCACGTGTACTGTCAATCAATCACCCAGTCAGTCCAACACCGTCAGACCCATGGCGACACAAGCACTCGACCGGGAAGCGGCCCATGTCGCGTTTTTCGAAATTAATGTCGAATGCAACGCGCTGGTGCATAAAGCCAGCGACCTGGAGCCATGAAAATGCCACTAGCGCAAAGCCCGGTTACAGGTGACCTTATATTCACCCAAAATATTCCGCATTGTGCCATAGTCTGGTCACAGTTGCTCTTAATATCCCTCACGCACAACTCGCTATCGTCACCGGCGCAAATCTACCTCGTTCACTTGCCGGCATCAGCCGGAATACCGTGGAGTACGCACTGGCCTGGAAGACACGAGCTCCCGCCGGCGGTCCTCCGTGCAGAAGATATTCAGGCGCATCAATGGGCATTTGGCAGGCGCGAGACTAGTCGACCAGCGCAAAAATGATTGTGCGGAGACAAGAGCAAACATTTCCACCAGGGCATACATCTCTTTCCGTGTACAGCTGGTTTCACATCTTTGAGTGGATAGTTGGATTGCCTTATGCACATATCACACTCCAACGCGGCAAACATTTAGACATGCATGTGGCCATTCGGCATCCTGGACCATGGCGATGCTGGACAAAACAGCGATGCGACTAAGACACAAGAGGATGTGTGCATACATTGTTATTCTGCAGCAGTATGGACAGCGTATGGTCAGCACATTCAGTTGGCCCGTGCCGTCGAGCGCAATGCATGAACCGGCTAATTTCATCACATATGGTTTCATTGGTGAAAGAAGATGTGAAGCAGAGCTCACGTTTGGGCATGCGGTAGCTGGCGATGAAAGCCTCCGAGTATTTCGGAAAATATCTCGCAGTGTGTGCGGCGCTGGCCTCTCAACGGCTACGGGTCAAATCTCGACTTTCCTCATTGACATTGCTGAGACCCGAACCGGGGTCTTAATGTTACGAGACCAGTAATCCACCATTGACTTAAGCGAGCAGAATGTTGTGAAACGTTCTGCGCTTACTAACACCCTGGACGAGAGCGATATTCTAAGCAATCGTTCCTGTGGCATCACTTATTTTAACATGTAGGTGATATCAGTCATGTCAGTAACAGTAAGGATCCAGAAGACTCCCTAGCTTTGCCAAGATTAAACAAATACGGTTAAATGCATATATATGGGTAATTTATTTCAATTTCCTCCGCATCTCCCGCTTGCGAAACACGAAGAAGTTGCGAGGATGCATGCACAATCTTGTGGTACCACCTCTTTGTAATCAAGACCGCTCTGCGGGCCAAGCAGGGCCAAAGAATATGCCAATGGTGCTACGCAAGCAGTCTGCCGAGCGCGTAACCTGGAGCACAGCATCTAAACAGACCAAGAGCATTAGCTGGTACGCCGCACTTTTATAGTGGACAATTTATCAAAATGTTTTCATCAATAAACACCGCTACCGCCGGCACAGGAAGAGTGGAAGGGCTGCTTTTAACTGCTACAACCACATCCAGGCTCGTACCACGGCAATCACCCATGTATGACCAATGGTCACGTACCATAGCCATCGCCCAATACCGCGGTCATATCCTGGTCAGCGCAGACCACACCACCATAAGGACATTTCTCTTCGCCTGCCTCCGCCCCATCATGCCGGACCGGTGCCGCATGCGGGGACAAGTCTGTTGTTTGCCCAGTCGTATTCACAGTGTCAGCTGGATCTGGTTCTTAGTGCGTACGTAGAGCGGCCATGATCTGCGCCGCCTCGCTGGCGGCCGTGTGGACGTGCACGGATGGCTCGTCACACGTCAGAATGGGCTGATGAGTTTTTGCAGTACGATAGGTGACGACACCCTTGGTTTGCCATTCTGCTGTCTGGCGGAGGTGCCAGTCCCTTCGCTTTGAACGTCATCCTCGGTTTCCACATGTGCCAAGGACTTAAGGCTCTGTGTCACGTGTTTGTTTCTGCAGCAGTCCTCTGTATTGTCCAGCAGTTCGTAGGATGTAGAGTGTCTGCACTAGAGCAACTGGTAGATTTATCCGGACGGTACATCGAAGAGCCGCCCACAGCCCACCTGAAACAGCGCATAACGCATCACATATTCAGTCAAAACCACCAGCGTCTGATCTCTGTTTTATCAAACGAAATTGCAGATAGGGACATAGTTGTGGTGCGGGGTGAACAGACATTCAACCCAGAGGTTAACCACCGTTAGGGTAATTCTGTGGTCATATGTCATATGCCGCCAGCAAATTATGCGACAGACGAGATGATACAGGTAATGTTTTCATTAAAAGCAAGCACAAACTTGATTCTTTGCTTATTTACGGCTAGCTGGCTGGTCGATGTGATTTGCTGATGGCTGATGACCTTTTGTTTTACGTATTACGAAGGAGTATGTCATGTCCCAGCATTTGAAATGCATCAAGAATGTGATGCACAAGCGTGATATACGTCGCAAATTCAAAATTCAATGCGGAGGGTTCCCAAACAATCCAGTGTGCCTGAGCAGGGTAAAAGATCGGGCTCCCGAGAAGTGCATGGGGCCCTCCAGTCAACTAGGAAGTACCTAGGACCCAATCTGGAAGGCTCCAAACGACCGTGTGTGCCAAGGCAGGTTCACAGATGGGGACCCCGACAAAAGCGTAGAGCCCTGAGCAGGTGATAGAGATTTGGCTGTGCGCTAGACCATTTTAGAGGGCCCATGAGCGTATGCACATCGCGAGTGTGTCAGAAGGATAACTAAAAGCATCGTGAATGACCCCTGAGCAACCAAGAATATCACGGCGGGATGACAAATGGGGCCCCCGGCTAAAGCATACAGAGCCGAAAGGACGAATGAAATGAATGCGTGGAATGCCCCTGATTGACAAGAGTAGACTGTTCCCTGACTGCATATGGTAGACCGCTTCCTACTGTAGACAGTGCTATTATCTGTATGTTGTAATTTCGCACACTGTACAGATTTAATTGCAGTTCAAAGTAACCTTAAGTTTTATAAGTTTTTCTTCTTCTTGACAGTGAGTGCCAATACTGACTCATCTACAGTGGCGCAGGCAAGCGGGCATAGGGGCACGTGCCCCCTTAGGTTCCGAGAGGCCCTTTGGACCCCACGGAACCAACGATCAAGGGCCCGAAAAGCAAGCCAGAGGTCTCATCCCGGGGCCCCGGCCTGCAGGGCCGGGCTCTCAAATGCCAGCCAGAGGGCTCTGTGCACTGATCAGGGGCCCAATGGGTCGATAAGGGGCTATATTTCGGTCAGACACCGCCAGTAACGTAGTCGACTGCGCGGCGGCGTGGACCTGAAGGCCCATTTACCAAGCAGGGACAAACCCGGGACCAACGATTTACATTTATCAGGGCTCTACAGGACCTACCAGGGGCCCTGTGTTGCCAAGGAACTTGTGCCAGCCAGAGGCAGTGTTTGAGGAGGCCCGAAGAGCCTAGAGGGCCCGCCGGGTCGGAGGATCAAGGGCTCGATTGGATGGTTTAAGGGCATGAAGGGCTGGTCGGAGTCTTATTCAGTGGCTCAGACCTGCAAAGGCGGTCCCTCAAACAACGGTCAGCAGGCCCTTGCGCCAATCGGGGACCCCCTGAGTCGATATAGGCCTACGTGTCGGTCAGGTACCACTCGTACCGCACAGTCGGATCCGTGTCTGCATGGGCCTGAGTCCCACTTTCCAATTAGCTACAAAGTCGGGGCCAGTGGTTTACACTGCCCAAAGGCCTTGTATCTGTCAGGGGCCCACAGCGTCTAACGGAGGGTCCTGTGCTCGCACTGGCCCTGAGCCAACCAAGGGAAGTTTTCGATGAGGCCCGAAGAGGGTCCAGAGCGGCACACCGGAACCGACGATCAAAGGCCCGTTTGGAGGGCATAAGGGTCCGAAAGACTAATTGTAGGTCACGTAAAGAATCGCGGCCCGCAGGGTCGTGACCTGAAATACTAGTCAGAGGCCCTCTTGCACCGTTTTAGGACCCCCCCCCCCCCCCTTAGATAATGCGGGTGCTTAAGTCGGCCCGAGACCACGAACACCGAAGTCGGCTCCATGTCCGTCCGAGCCCTTGAGACCCATTTCCCAAGCAGAAACACGGCCGGGGCTTGCGATTTGTAATGATTGGGGTCCCTGGCAAAATGAGGGACTTCTGTGTCGGTTCGGGGCCAGTGTCGAACAGGGTTCCTGTGGCGGCAAGTGGCCCCGAGTCAGAGGGATGTTTGAGGGGGCCTGAAGAGGGGCCTAAAGGTCTCTCGAGATCAAATATCAAGAGCCCGATGGGATGACAGGACCGCGCCCGTAGGGCCGAGATCTCAAACGTCAGTAAGATGATCTTTTGCACCGATAGGGACCCCTGAGACACCGCGTCCCTCTATTTCGGTCAGAGATCGAGAACAGCGAACAGTCAGCTCCGTGTTGGTCTGAGCTCTTAAAGCAAAACATGTCCTCAATAACATATGGGTCATATGTGGCGTTTTTTGGGGGGGGGATTTTATTACCAGGGTGTCCCATGTCGACCCTGCCCCCCCCCCCTTACGAAAACTCTGGCTGCGCCCCTGCTCATCTCTATTGGTCAAAAGGTGCACTTTAAGCTTTTGGTTTGGAATTTATTTAACACAATGTACAGTTTTTCATCGCACTATCACAAATCATTACAGCCCCCAGCTGAGCGTAGGTTAAATTATGACTTGCCTGACATTGAGAAGATAGAGGGAGGAAAGCGTATGCAATATGCACATTTCTAATAGATTAATGAGTTGGGCCAGGTACCTAGCATACACTGTGTTATCCCATGGAAACAGAAATAAAAAATTGCACCTCCAGGGCACAAAAGATTACTACATCAGGCAGCTGTGGAAGGCTGCAAGAAATGCATTGGTTGAAAAGCTGAGCTTTGATGTTATATTAACAGATAAATCATTCTGACATAAGGCAGTGTGAGCAGGCAGGAAAAGCCATTTGCTCTCCATGACGTGGAGGGCCACAAGCAGATCAGCCTGCAGATCACTATGCCTTCATGATCATGATGCTCAAAATTGCATTCATTCTGAAGTGATCAAGCACGCAGTAATTGCAGTTTCCAAAAAGCATGGCTGTTCGCCTCCTGTGTGCTGATCTGCTGGTTGAAAGGATTTAAGGTTTCCTGCCATCACTACTCGATATCAGGGTTCACGTTTCCTGCTCCGCTAGAGAAGGGAGGGGGTTCTAGCCCCCCCCCCCCCGAAATCTGGTCACAGCCCCCAGCTAAGAAAGGTGTGCCAAATTCAGGGAGAAACCTGTTTGTTGATGAACTCTGGGTTAGGTTTCGTCAGTTCACAAGTTTTAGCACCCCCCCCCCCCCCTCCCCCAGCCTACCCCTACTCATTTTGTGTGCCTACGCCCCCACTCAATGCATGCAGGTAAGATGAGAATGGTGCACCCCCATTGAGGGGTAAATGGGAACATGAGGTGAAAAGCATGTTGACCTCCCCCCCCCCCTTCCCCTCGACAATTACAGAGGTTGCAACGCTACGACTGCCACGCGCCCACCCAGTTGGAAGGATTCGCATTGCATCTGGTAACGCTGCGCACCTAAATACAAGCAACCTCACGCACCTAAAAAAAAAAACAGCAGATAGAATACAAAAGTGTACTCCCAGTCAGGGGTGCGTGAGAACAGATACGGTAACAAGCACACTTGCCCCCTTCCTCCTTCATATCTACATAAGTTTTAGCGCTAAACTGCCGCACCGACATCGAGTTGAAAAAACTTGCATTATCCCTGATACTGCTGCGCACCTGAGTACGAGCAACTTCATGCACTTAAAAAAGAGCTTCCAATGCAACATTATGCAGTAATCAATACCTACCATATCGTGACAGCCAACAGGAACAACACGCAGCAATGTCCGGCGCCGTTTCATCCAGCAACCGCGCGACGCGACACTCCCACAGCATTCCAACTCGCGGCCAAGGTCTACCATAACAATCAGTAGTGATGGGTACCACACATGTGCCCTGCCAAACGCATATATTTTTTCGTACATGCGTATCCTAGCAACCGTTGTCAGCGGTGTTAAAAATAGTGATGATCGAAATGGCCCAGCTATTGGTGTTCTGGCAAAAATGTTTTGTCTTACCAAATATCAGAGGTGATGAGAAATATATTTATAATATTATTTTGTATATACGTTTATATTTTCTGTAGCTCAACAACTAGCTTTCAAGAACAATGAGAAACAAGGTTTGGAGCAGGAAAGCTGAGGCCACTAAAACCTACATTGTCGAGCACATATTGAATAAAAACGATGGAAATGCAGCGAAACTTCCACAAATGTTTTGCGTTTGCTTCTTTCTATTAATTCTATGCATTCTTTTTTGTAAGTAGTTTGGACGTCAACAGAGCCGTCCAATGTCATGAGATCGTCAGGTGGTCCAGGGCCTTAAAATCGCATTTCGTTGGGGGCCTCGACTTCTCGGGCCGCGGACAAATCGCAGCTGAGCTAGCGATCTTATGCCCGGTCCTTCCTCTTTCTCCCACTTCCACCTTACTCTACCGTAAAGACGTGGATCGCTGCAAAAGAGCACGCCATGCTGGTGAAAATTCCGCGGAATGCAGTCCTCCTTGAAGGATTTTGGACGATGCAATATCTTCGATCTCATATCCAATTTCTGACTCGCTTTTGCCACTCAGTCCTCAGATACTAAAGGAAAGCATAAAGGCATAGGAAGCTTAATGTACTCTTATGAATGTACCTAAGGCACCCACATGAGGAGAGAATGGGCATGTTGTGTAACAATTGAGGTAATGAACATTTAGACCCGGACCTAGACTCAATTGCATTCATTCAGTACATTCAAACCTCATGTTTACCGTACCCCAGGTCGGTCAGTCCTGTGCCCAATGCTTTCCTCAACAAATTCAGCAAAACCAGAGCTCTGATGGAAATCTATGACCACTAAACATTATTAGTAATTGCACACGCTCCTGGATATCCGTTATGAAAGCAACGGGACCTAAACCATGTTAATTTTACAGGTGCCTAGATTGCTAATCTATTCCATGTCGTAACTTGTATAAAGAACGACGTAAAACCGGAATCCCGGATGATCCCACGAGAACACCCAACGCACGGGATCCGAACTGGAGCGGACAGGTCTCGCGCTACGTCAACTGACATCTCCCATCATTTCTTGGAACCCCGTCGGCTGTACTCTTTTAATGACATAGCCTTTAAATGAGATGGTACACTGTACCGGACGCCATTGACTTCTTATGGCAATGGTAGAGTGGTCCTCATACAATAATCCCGGCTAAACACTCAAAGACCTACAAATCGTGGACGGTGATATGAACGAGATCATCAGCTTCAACATGCCATGCAAGTGTATTCAGATCGACAGAACATACCTTAGCGGACAGGAAACGACGGAAGTTTAGACACATTCCGCCTAAACCAGACATAACACATTCCGTCCAAAGGACTTCTCACAAACACAGTAAAACAACATTCACAAGCTGTCCAAGCGGTTTATGCAGCCAAAAAGGAGACTGCACCTAGCACAGCGTACAGCTTCCCGTCCGCAGGCAAACGCATCGTCATCATAAAACCACCAAATACACCATCACATACCATCGTCACACATCATCGCATCAAGCCACCACCGCTTCCATAGCCACAACGAAGACGAAGAATAATCAAGGTTGAATCATACTCCTTCCCAGCCCTAAGCACAGCAGCAGCCTGAGCCGGCCGGTACTCGGTACAGGCATGCAGGGAGCGGCTGGGCGCCCCAAGATAAACATTGCAGGTTCCTGTGTGCACCACCTCTACTCTTCAATGCATGCACACACCAGATATCTTGCACACTTACCCACGCACATTTACACTTAAATGCGTGCCATCGCCTCAGGCTCTGCATTTGGAACGACTAGAAAGGCCTCAGATAGTAAGGCCCCACTAAGCCTAAGCTTGTAGCTATAGGCATTTACTGAAAGGCCGGGATATTTCCACGACAAGGCATCTGATGAACATGCAATGATCATTACACTGAAATGAGAGAAAACAGCCTGTATGAGAACATTTCTATGGTGCGTTGACTGCTTAACTACCCAAATCGCCCTTCCATGACCTCAACTTGACATGACGTGTTCTGCGATCCAGCACTCAATTTCTTTCGACGCAGTCCTGCAGACTGTGCGGCGCTGCGGCACGACGCTGTCCCAGATACCGCTGGTGCGAGTGATTATTCCTTCCGGTCTTCGGAGGACGACCAGCGAGCACACGCTACCGTCCACGAAGTGGACAGGCTTCCCGCCTCTCCGGCCGGGGGACACGGATGTGGCGGCCACGCTTTTCCGCCAACCTAGTTGACGTTGCGCATAGAGTTGGGCTCTGACAGGGGGGGGGGGGGGGGGCGACGGAGGGCGTGGCGGCGCATCAGTTAGTCATGAATGCCGACAGCGCCTTGGGTCATGTCGGGTCATGCTTGGGGTGATCGTCCAGATCTTGAAGAATGGACTTCTGCATCTTGCCTAGGAGATCCGATATGGTGTTGTGCGCACCGGCCGTTGGGTTAGCCACAAGTGGTGGGGGATGGGGGGGGGGGGACGCTGCGGACCACCACGGGCGCAGACAGGTCAAACGATCTGACGTGGCAGGATATCCGCAAAGTCATCGCCATCGCTGTCGTCATCGACTCGGTCCCTTGGGTTCTCCGTGAAGGGCTGAAGGGCTGGCGTCTCGGCGGCCTTCCTGGACGGTCCTGGTGTCGGCTCTACGGCGGGGCTGGCCTCCGCCCTCAAGGTGATAAACCATCCAGATGGTGTATCACATCGACCTACCAAGAAAGAACAGTCCAACAATCCTTTGAAAATCGGCTGATGTGATTGGGAGAACGTATTGTGCGTCCTCCCAAAATTATATATATATATATATTTTAAATTTATTCCGAATGGTTTGCATGGGTGACTTCGGGTTCAGAGTACCTGCTAAGCATAGCTTGTTGCGTGAACCCCGAACCCACCACCCAAGCGTCCCGTCCAGTTCAGCAGCTAATTTTGCCTCCGCCCTTTTGCCAGACAGGAATGCGGAGGGTTTTACGTGCCGCACAATGCTGCGACACGGCCGCCTCGGGCCTGGGTTGACCCTCGTTGGCCAGTTGCCAGCTGGCCTTTCCATTTCAGTCGGGTCAAACAATGCGCCCACTCCGGGACTCGTACCCAGTGCCGCTGGATTACGAGTCCAGCATCTTTCCCCTAGACCACGGAGGCAGGCTGATTCAATCTACACAGGCGACTGACTTTAAGCATGGCTGACTTGGTGTCTGACCACCTATTTCAGCGTGATCCTGTTTGTAAGCTATATCATTTTTTAAATTGCAATGCCCTAAAAACGTTTAAGTCTCCCACGGGTTCTCAACATGTTTTGACCTATCATAAACGCCCGCCGCAAGCATTCCTCGCAAAACGTAGTGCAGCTTATGTGAGGCACACGGACGGTGGAACAATGACCAGAGTGCTGATGTCCTGTAGCAAATCACCTAGAAACCTCACACTCTGCACAGAACTTCAAAACCTTTCATCCTAGTCATCATACTTTGGGCAACCCTTTCCACGCACGGAGTATCTGGCGCTAGGATGCAGTAGTGAGATGTACTAATATTCTGATGCTCCTGGGACATGTATTTCTAGCCCCATGCTTGGTTGTGGTTATCAAGATCCTTTGGCTTAGCCATCATTATCTCCTGTAGCCATAACCTTTAGTGCAAGGCATCAGGCACTAGAATGTGGGAGCTGGAATGATTGTGGAAAGTTTCCTATTTTACTGTCTACAAGTCGATGCTTACATCTAAGTTGTAAATGGGCATGCAAGACCACAAGTATTCCTTTAAAAGCATGTTAAAAGCATGCTGGAGCCATGGCCATGTTAAACTTGAGTTGTTTTTTTTTAACCAAGGCCAGAACACTATTTCATAGCAATCAGTAATATTTGATTACTCAAGCACACAGGTCAAAATTATAAAATAAACATGTCATCACTGCTTGTGTTCATTTGAAATGATCAGCAAACATTCAATGCACTATGCTTTTTGAAAATATAGATGTTGGAAAATAATTCTGTTATGTTCTATCTTATTGCACATGTGTTCAACTAGTTATTTCTGAGAGAAAATAATTTAAATGTAACAGATGATGACAGCAATATAAACCCAGATTGCACAAAACACACATAATGTTTGAGATGTCTGGGGTAAGGGTAGATTATGTACAGCAAAGCAGTGAGATCATGGAAACAATTTCAGCACATACCCTCTAAATCCAAGATCTCATAGTTAAGCACACAGGTGCCACCAACTCCAGTGGTAAAAGAGCCAATGTTTCCAGGAATCATGATACCACCAAGGCAGTTTCAGGTAGACAAATGCCAAAAAATCTCTTAACACTGCCAATAATTTGAAGATTCAGTGTGATTTGGCCTGGCTCAAGTTTTACATTCCAATGTGAAGATCAAAGCATGGATGTCTTGTAGGTGTCCAGTGAAACATACTATTTTTTCTGACTGGATGTAGACATTTTGTGTTATGATAGCTTCAGTTGGAAAACCTATGCATCAAACAAAACAAAACCAGTGTCAATTTGTACACTTCTTTGCTAAATTCACGAGCAGATTAATCAAAATAGCCAATTTTCAATCAAAACAGCAGTGTGTCAAGAAAAAGGAACACTACTGTATATTACACCATAATGTACCATATACTATAAGGAAAATTACTGGGTATGCACTTATAACTCTGGGCGGTTGCACACATGGCCAATACAAATGTTATGACACACAAGAACTGTTTAAAACCAGACCCAGTCTGCCCGATTACGCCCAAAACTTACCTCTGTGAGCATGATCAGACTGCAAGGCCTGCCCCACGCAGAGATGCTCAGTCAATAGCAGCACGACTGA